GACTATAAGGTTTAAATTACTATAGGTAGAGAGGTTTAGGTTTAGGGTTTAGGGTTTAGGGTTTAGGGTTTAGGGTTTAGGGTTTAGGGTTTAGGGTTTAGGGTTTAGGGTTTAGGGTTTAGGGTTTAGGGTTTAGGGTTTAGGGTTTAGGGTGTTTAGGGTTTAGGGTTAGGGTTAGGGTTTAGGGTTGTTTTAGGGTTGAAGGGTTTTATGGTTTTTGGTTTTAGGGTTTAGGGTGTTTAGGTTTTTAGGGTTTAGGGTGTAGGGTTTCGGTTTAGGTTTTAGGGTTTAGGGGTTGGGGTTTTATGGTTGGTATGGTTTTGGTTTAGGGTTTAGGGTGTGGAGGGGGTAGGGTTTAGGGGTTAGGGTTGAGGTTTAGGGTGTTTCGGGTTTAAGGGTTTAGGGTTTTTTGGTTTAGGTTTAGGGTGTTAGGGTTTAGGTTTAGTGTGAGGGTTTAGGTTTAGGGTTGAGAGGGTTTAGGGTTAGGGTTTTAGGGTTTAGGGTTTAGGGATTTTGGGTTTAATGGGTTTTTGGTTTTAGGTTTAGGGTTTTTAGGGTTTAAGGGTTTAGGTTAGGGGTTTAGGGTTTGAGGGTTTAGGGTGTTTTTAGGGTTTAGGGTTTTGGGTTTAGGGTTTAGGGTGTTTAGGGTTTAGGGTTTAGGGTTTAGGGTTTAGGGTTTAGGGTGTTTAGGGTTTAGGGTTTTGGGTTTAGGGTTTAGGGTTTAGGGGAAAGTTGGAATATGGTTTCAGGGTGGGATACCCTATATTTTACCATAGAAGGGTTAGGATATAATCATATTCCAACTTTCTGGCTTTTACCTTAAAGATCTAATCTAAGGGCCTTTCTTTTAGAAAGGGTGTGTATATATACATATATATATATATATAGATATAGATATGGGTGGTTGTCAATATTAAGTTCCTTTTTCGGGTCCTTATTATGATATGGCACCTGATATTCCGGGATCCCAAATTGACACCATAATTTCGACAACCACCCATATATTATACTGTAATTAAAATAAGGAACCACCAATCCAAGCGCTAAACATGTTGGGAAAAAACTTCCCAAATATGATTAATCCTGCTTGGAATACGGTACGGCTTTGGGGTGTATTATACTGGTGCTTTCACAAGGAACCACCAAAAACAGAATTGGTAATTGTTTCAGCCCTTATGTTAAACCCTGAACCCATAACACTCTAGAGGCCCCCTAAAGCCCTGAACCTCCGCCCGCCTTGGATCGCCTTGGCCACCGAGACAAAACTCATTCCTCACAACGCCCTGCAACCATCCAAACCCTAGATCTAAGAGTAACCTGGAAATAAAAAGGGTGCCCTTTTTGGGTTATAAGGGAACCTGAACCCTAAAAAAGGGAATAAGGGCTTACTCTGGGTCCTAGAACCTCGCCTTTGCCATCCAGCTGGTAGGGCAGCACGGGCATCTTCAGAAGGCGCCTGGGGAAACTCTGAGATGTCCCATAATAATCATCATAAGAGTCATAATCTTCCTCATACTCAGAATAAGAATAATCACAATAATAATAATCATAATCATAACCCTGAATTCAAGAGAGCGGTCAGCGATGTTTCCAGGCAGGTAAGGGGTTTGGGGTTCAAGGCATAAGCGAGTTTAGGATCTTGGGGAAGAAGAGAGTTTCGGGAGTGTAGGGTTTAGGGTAGAAGGGGCCTGGAATCTTTTTGGTTTTGGGGTTTGGGCTCCGAGGCTGTGTTGCATCTGCTCCGGCGACTTCACCATGCCATTCCGGAGCCCGTGGGTAGGGGCTGGCGCTGGTCAAAAGAGACAAAATCGTGGAAGTTTCTTGGGGTTTAGGGACAAAACCGAGAGGTTCAAGCTCCGTGACGAGATTTTGGCCTTCCGGCAGCAAATACCCTCGAAGGTTTTTGAGGTGCACTGCTCACTGGTTCCGACCTGAATACCTCGGGAGAATCCAGTAGGCGACGCGAAGCCGAAGCCTGCCTTCTCTTCCCCGATTGCGCTCCCTTATGTGGGCCCTTCGCCCTACAAGACGGGCTTCCAGAAGATTCGATTGAGCGCACTCAGAACGAACATGTCATTTCCAGAACAGTTTGGGAGCTCTAGAACAACGGTCAACACATCCTGCAGGAGAAAGGCTTCACCGTCCGATATGCACCCTAAACCCAAACCCTAAACTCTCGCAGAACCCTTCCAAGGAACCCCTGAACCCAGACCCCCGGGAGGATCCAAAAAGTAGATCCCTTAATGGTGCGTTCCTATAAAGTATACCCTTAGCAGTATAGGGCCCCAAATTAGGGGATCTACTTTCTAGATCCTCCCGGGGGTCTGGGAAGAAGCCTCCCTAAACCCTCCGGGTCTGGGAAGAAGCCCTAAACCCCAAAACACTAAAACCCTAAAGCCCCTAAACCCCTAAACCCCTAAACCCTAAACCCTAAACCCCCAAACCCTAAACCCTAAACCCCTAAACCCTAAAACCCCTAAACCCCAAAAAAGCCACGAGGGCAAGGCCCCAAGGCCCATTGAGGCCCCGAGCACTTCGTACCAGTCCCAAACCACCTGCGACCTCTGGGCGGTGGTTTTACGGGCTTTAGGGTTTTAGGCTTTAAGGGTTTTAGGGTTTAGGAGGGTTTAGGGTTTAGGAGGGTTTAGGGTTTTAGGGTTTAGGGTTTTAGGGTTTTAGGCTTTAAGGGTTTTAGGGTTTAGGAGGGTTTAGGGTTTAGGAGGGTTTAGGGTTTTAGGGTTTAGGGTTTTAGGGTTTAGGGCTTTAGGGTTTTTAGGGTTTAGGGTCTTAAGGTTTTAGGGTTTGGGGGTTTAGGGCTAGGAGTTCAGGGTCCCTTGAAGGGATCCATAAGGGGTACTGTAAGGGTTAGGGTTTAGCCTACTTGGAGAGTCATGAGACTTAGTAAGTAAGGTTATAAGTCCTTACTTCGGGGCTATAAGTCATCATAGGCACGGTTACCTTGTCAAAAACCCTAGTTACTAAGTCCCATGACCCTTGAAACAGGGTCAGGAAAACATGTCTATGCTGATGACCGCGACCATCGTTTCGGATCTGGGAGAGATAATGCGAATTATGATTGATGTTCATACAACTTGGAGGGCGCGTACCTGCAAACGTGCGCAGGCTCCAGGTTTAGGACTTAGGAGGTAAGGCTTTGGCTACTGGCTGAGCCCCGAAAAAAGCAATTTGCTCTGCGGATTTTGCATGCTTAACAGTGTTACATGAATAAAGCCATCCTCTAAACGTGTGCAACTGACTTGACCGTGGCGACGGCATGACTGCTCCTACACTCTGTTGCTGGCGGTATCCGTGTTGAATTGCTGCTTAGTGGGATAACGAACGCTAAGTCACTGCTTGGTGCCATGCATCATCGTCGCTCGCACGAAGACGGCCGAGTTGATGAATACGTACACCTGACTCAGTTTGTTGTCGAGATTCCTGGCTGGAACTGAACAGGGCATCGAGGGCTGGTGCCGGTGGGATCTGCACTAGACCCTAATTTGATATACCATAATATACTATAAAATACCATCATATACTATAAGACACCATACCATAATATACTATAATATACTATAAAATACCATCATATACTATCTATACCATAATATACTGTACTCTCTTTTAAAAACAGAGAAGCTTGCGCCACCCGAAACCGAAAGCGGATCCATCTCTGGGCTCCCGGCGTAGAGGTTGTAGTTGCTCCAGAAGTCACCCTGGTGCCAGTGAATCCGCCTTGAAACAAGGGTTTAGAATTTCGGGTTTAGAATTTAAACTTTCTAATGGATTCCTCTCTCTATGTTACTATACACTATATAATAATATAATATAGTATGCTATAGTACAGTAGACTATATACTGGATTATGGTGGGGTGTCTCTATTGCGAGGAGCCCGCCGACCTCGAAGGCTTCAGAAAGCATTACGAAGCTCACGAACACAAATCTACTCAGCCATCTGCTGAAACCACCCCAAACCGTGCAACCAGTTTCCTTGATCCTGCCATGCACGACTCTACAACTCCACGGAAAACAACCGACAAGAAAAACAGGCGTCTGACTTCAGGTTCGACCAGGTCTCCGTCACCAGGACGAGGAGCTGGAGAGCCAGGTACCTTCTTGGAGGTTCATCGGTAGTTGTAGGTAGGGTTATAAGTCCCCTAGCGCCAGCATGCATCCAGGACATGTCTTTTGCGGTGCCAGCACCAGGAAGCACATGAGATATCTATGCAAAGAGTCATTGAGCTCACTGGAGACTCGTTCCTTTGCAGATCTGACATCGCAATGCAGGTTATTGGGAAGTGCTCTACATGTCGTAGATGTTCTGATCTGCCAAGAGAACTTAAGATAGCGAAGCCGTGTGAGGAAAAGAGGTTTCGGGATGAATACACATGCCCGACTGATATCGCGAGTGAGTCCATCACTCTGCTGGCACGGGGAAGATGCCCCTGTCTAAGCCTGCATTCTGTACAGTTGGTCATGAGATATCTACAGACAGAGAGACACCAGAAACTACATTTGTAAAGAGACAACAAAACGTCCTCTTGCAGATCTGACATCGCAATGCGGGTTATTGGGAAGTGTTCTCCATGTCGTAGATGTTCTGATCTGCCAAGAGAACTTAAGACAGCGAAGCCGTGTGAGGAAAAAAGGTTTCGGGATGAATTTGCATGCCCGACTGATATCGCGAGTGAGTCCATCACTCTGCCTGGCACGGCACGTGGAAGTATGGAAAATGGGAAGATGGCCCTGTCTGAGCCTGCATTCTGTACAGTTGGTCATGAGATATCTACAGACAGAGACCCACTAGAAACTACATTTGTAAAGAGACACCAAAACGTCCTCTTGCAGACCTGACATCGCCCTGCAGGCCCTTGGGAATCATGCTCCAAGTCAATGTTCCGGTCTGCCAGGAGAACTTGAGACAGCGAAGCCGTGCGCGGAAAACAAGTATCTCGGGAACATTCTTTTGCATGCCCGAATGATCTCGAGAGTGAATCCATCACACGTGGAACTCATGGGAAGATGGTTTGATGTCCCCGTCTGAGCCTGGATTCCCACAGGCCGCGGCCCTTGGTTTGCCGAAGCTTTCACGACGCACCTTCACCCTGCTCTGGAAACCACTAGGATTCTTGAGCACGTCGGAGAGGTACCCGTTGAGCTTCTGGACATACTGCCGATGTGTATCGAAACTGGGTGGTAATGCACGGCTCGGAGACAACGCAAGACACTCCGGCACGAGGAGCACCACCGTGGCGCAAACCTGGGGTTCCACGCTCCTGCTGTCAATGCTTCCACTGCACCCCATAGCGCTCTGGCCAGTAGTGGCCTGTTTGCCCTATTCAATACTTCTGGCACTTCTTGGGCCGGGCGGCTGTCCATTCGCAACAGCATGAGGTGTGCCTTTTGCTGCTGTGCAGCCTCTCGCGGATGCTACGCCAAGGAGTTTTCGTGGCACATGGGATGGGTCTTACCCTAAGATTTCCGGTTTCGGCTTCGATGTGTCCCGGTGTTCCCAGGGTCATCAGGGTGAGTCCTGACCTCGGGTTTCTGATCGACACAACGAAAACTACGTTGCATGTTTAAAGTCTTGCCTGAAGCAGAATGAACCCTAAACCCTAAACGCTAAACCCCTAAACCCCTGAACCCTAAACCCAAAGTGAAGGACGCTGCGCAGAAACATCCAGTCAGGGCACGCGCGCTGCCACTTACCTGCCGAGAGCTAGCTGCACCCAGGGCTTCTTTTGTCCGAGCGGAGGACGAGCTCAACAGAGCTGTTATGGTATATTAAGGTATGTTCTGGTCTATTAAGTCTATTATGGTATACTATGGTATGTTTTGGTACATTATGGCATCATATAGTACATAATAGTCTCATACATGCACTTGGGAATGACATGGAGCACAGCTCGAAGATTCCATGCTCGCACCTCTTCTACGTATTCTCTTGCCACCTACATCGAATTTACCACCGAAGCCTCTGCGGCTGGGAATCGCTGAAGGGTTTGAGGATGTCAGACATTTAGCGACCCTAAGCTAGACTGCGCCCCCATGTATTTGCAGGGATGATCCTCATGTCCAACCGAAGGTGCCCTCAAGCCCTCCAAACCCGTCCGCTGGTGGCCTAGCCGGTCCTGTTGCTCCTCGAGCTTTCGCGTGGTGTCGATCACCTGTGCAGCGGCTATGTAACATGCATGAAAACCTGACAACCTAAACCCCAAACCCTCAACCCTCACGGAAGGTTTGGTTGCCCAGTAACCCCTTCAACTCGCTTTCAAGAACAAAGGTATCAACCAAAAACGACAGGGGCCGGGTTTGCTCTTTGGCAGCTAGTTTATCGACATGATGTTTGGAACCCTCCGGGGTACACACGCATGCATGATTCCAAGCCAAGAGGCTGTGGGGCCGTTAGGGTTTAGAGTTTACGGTCACAGGTCTAGACGAGCAGCAACGACCCAGGACTCCTCCCTCAGAACGAGCAAAAGACAGATCCTACGAGCAGAGGGCCTACAGCTGTAGGAAACCCTGAAAGCTTACATGGTTCAGGGGTATAGTGTAGCGGGTTCAGGGGTTTAGCGTGTTAGGTAACACAACAAGGCCTTCGAGGAGACATGATGAAGATCCCCTTATGGCAACACTTTCCATCAGGGACCCGCGGATTGCGGCACCAGCGCTCAGGGAGCCAGCCTACTTGGAGGATCGTGGGACTTAGTAAGTAAGCTTATAAGTACCTTAACTGGGGTTAGAAGTATAGTTACCCTAACAATAACCCTTGTTACTAAGTCCCATGATCCTTTATCTTAGAGATGCAGCCCGGCGCAAAGGAGAAACCCAGAGACTCCAATAACCCTTAATTAAGGAATATAGTCCTTAAATTCTGGTAGGGATCGCGAATATGGTTTAAGGGATATTCCTTAATTAAGGGATATTGGAGTCTTTGGGACCTCTCTGAAGCCTTCGAAACCAGCCCCCCAAAGGCCCGCAACAAACCCCGGGTCATGCGTGAAGCGCGCTTCCTGTTCCTGACGAGAGCCCTTGCATCAGAGGCCTTAATAAGTAGAATAGGGTTCTACGGCCCTTTATACTATAATTAAAATCAGGAACCCCCCAAGATAGTATAGGTAATTGTCAAGGCTCCTATATCATAGAACCCTTCTATAGATCCCTTATAGACCCCTTCAAGGAACCCTTTAAAGGAACCCCCCCCCCCCCCGCCAAAAGAAAAAAAGAAAATAGTATAGGTAATTGGCTTAAAAGCTTCAAGTTTCCGCCTGCTGTAGGAAGGCGCAAGTCCAGCAGGACAGCCACATGATGATGTAAGGCCTCACGGAAGGAGACTTGCAAGGGGCCTTCTTAGGTTTAGGGCTTCGGGTCTAGGGTAGGCCTTCTTAGGGGTAGTCCGGAGTTCGAGATCTGGGTGGCTGCAATGCCCGAAGCAGGTTGACTTGGCTCTTTGCGACTAGGTCCTAGTCCTAGCCGCAACGTTGAAACGCTACGCTCTCCTGTCCGTGGGAACTGTGAGCTCTTGGGGAAGAGGGGTGTTCTGGCCCTGGGGTGTTTTTCTTGTGTTAACTTGGTACACTTCTCGACTTGGGGTTTGGGGCTGCAGGGGTTTAGGGTTTAGAGTAGGGTTTAGGGTTCTCAGAATTGTGAGAAGCTCCAAGCTCTTCGAGGCTCCAAGGGTCTGGCTGCGGGGTTCAGGTGCTAAACGGCTTGCACCAGTGTAAGTACGGGGTATGGGCTCCACTAACAAGTATAATTTTCATGAATGAACACAGTGACGTCGATCATCACCAAAACCTGAAGAAGGATCTCTGTCCCCAAACCCTCTGACCGTGAGCGTGCCCTCTACGCCACCGTCTACCCATGAAGCACAGACTTGGTCGCCGCACTTCTCTACGATGGAAAAGCGACGGCACATCCTTGCGGCACTGCTTCGGGGCTTAGGGGGAAAATTCCGCTTTGGGTTCGGTCTTGGATTTCACGATGCAAAACTGTCACAAGATGTGTGGCAACTTGTGCCAGCTTGAGGTGCGACTGGCTGCGCGCCGATCGTGGCAGATCTGAGCGCCCCGCTCGAGCTGGACCATGTTCCAGATCTCAAAAAAGTTCCTGCCGAGAGCAACTGGAGTTTAGCGATGTAGTAGCCTATACTATGGTATATTATACTCTACTCGACACCACAACAGGAAACTATGTACTATAGTAACGGAACCTTAGTATAGTATACTATACCATACTATTATGTGGTATACTACTTAAAGGGTCAAGGGACTTAGTATCTGGGGTTATTATTAAGGTAACTATACTTATAACCCAAATTAGGGTACTTATAACCTTACTTACTAAGTCCCATGATCCTCCAAGTACACTGCTACAAAGCCTATCCAAACAAGGAGGCCCCTTCTCTCTTCTCGCTCGGGCAAACGACTTGGGATCCGAAGGAAACCCAAAAAAAGAAACTCCAGGAGGAAGCCTTCCACCCCCCCAGATTGGGTCTTTGGGTTTAGGGCCAGTTAAGGGGCCTAGGGTTTAGGGGTTTAGGGGTTTAGGGTCTTTGGGTTTGGGGGTTTAGGGGTTTAGGGGTTTAGGGGTTTAGGGGTTGAGGGGTTTAGGGTTCAGAGGAGCACCGAGAAACCACGAGCACCCGCCTGTCTAAACTTCTGCACCACAATCAAAAGGGTAAGCCATGACCTAGCCCCTAAACCCTAAACTAAACCCTAAACCCTAAACCCTAGCTCTAAACCCTACCGAACCCTACCTCTAAACCCTACTTGGAGGTTCAAGGCTCGTTATAAATAGGGTTAAGTCCCGTAATACGGGTTATGACTATTCTTATCCTAATTATAAATAGCCATGAACCTCCAAGTAGCTCAAAACAATACCGAACCCTGGATGCCTAAACCCTCACGCCCGAACTCCAGACGCCCAACAAACTCTAAGCCCTAAACCCTAAACCCCAAGTCCCCTCTTGAACCCTGAAACCCGAAAACTCTGAACCAGTTCATGGTTGGGATAACAATAAAATTTACACGTTTATTCCTTGTTGGGTTTAAGTCTAAGTACGCATAAAAATCCAAAATGTTACCCAACTATGGCACAGAAACTCCTAAACCTGCATGAAAGGCCGCTGACCACTTCCAAGCCTCGAGGCACAGGTCTGGTAGGAGTACCTCTCAGAGTCGTCTCTTTGTCGCCCCTTTCAGGTCGTTATGGTGTAGTATTGGTAAAGTAAAGTATAGTATAGTGTAGTATGTCTTTGGAAGATCCAAAGATGAGCAAGTGAGCTTCTTGTAATTCTTTCTCTTTTGCCTTGCTCTTGCCTGAGCCCTCGCTCAGAAAGCATCCACTTGAGAATATTTTGAAAGTAACCCCGGCTCCGCCGATGGCATTCTCAGGTTCCCAGAGGGATTCCTGGCTTGACTTTTCACGTCCCGGATGGGTAAGTGGTAAACGGATGTAAACGGTGTGTCGGTCATTTGGAAATGCGCTTCGAGCGAGCATGCGGGAAACTGACCCTAGGCTTGTACCCACATGTTGTCTGCGGTGAGCAGTTGCCCCACTAAAAAGTAAAGGGGGGCGATGTGCCTGTCACTTGTCTGGGGGATAAACCTTCGGCCTCCTCCAGGCAAGTGCCAATGCTGGGCATTGCAGCACAAAAGCGATGGAAAGCTCTAAATCACAATAACAAGTCTAATCCCGACCATCGCCATCACCGCATTTCAAAGAACTCACAGCCGCAGCAGAAAAACAATCGTCTCGATGCTATGCTGCTAAATTAAAAAGAAGTCTCCCTCTATGTCTATGTCATTTATACTAGGCCGAGGCACATCCCCGGAAGCCCCGATCTCCGATGCGACGCCCCTGCAGGGGCGGGAGAGCTGTGTCCATCCACCACGGGTGAGATAGAGGAAAAAGCAGGTGGTGAGGAACCAAACAGCTGCAGATGCAACGCCGGCTTCGTAGGCGGACGCTCACCAGGACCCCCGAGAAGCTGAGGAGTGCGAAGCCAACAAAGGTCAAGAGGGCCGAGCCATGGTCTGCAAGTGAGTTGGACGACTTGCACATTGGAAGATCACACAAGCGCACAGCGAGCCATACCACTACCATGCCCCAGCCACCCGTCATGCCCAGTACTCCGACCAGGAAATAAGCTGCAGCGTAGCCCGAAGGTAGTTCCTGGGACTTGAGGATCAGCCCAGCTAGGGCATCCGTGCTGAAGCTGATGAAGGGCATCACCACGGCGAAAGCATAGGCCAAAGGCAGCCGGGTGTCCACCTGGGAGCCCAGAAGCTCTCGACGAAGAGGCCCACGAACAAAGCTTTCGAAGGCTTCATGACTGCCATACCACCGCGTGATTGCCGAATGGATGTACTCCGTGTCAAACTTCTTGACGCAGCCCACTGACTCAAGCTTGAAGCTGCTCACAGCTCTTCGAGAAGCTTGCGCTTTGCAGTCATCTTCTGTCGGAGAAAATGTAGGACGCAGTATGTAGGCGCCAAAGCGGGAAGCAGTGCGACTGCGCGAGCGGTTTCGAAAAGCTGTGTGGCAAGAATCAACACCAGCATCGTCACGTAGCTTCCCAGCCACAGGACAGCCACAGCGGTCTCCACGAAAAGCGGTGCCAGTGTTATTTTACCCTTCGGATTGGCAGTTCTGTAGGCAGCCAATTCGAAGATACCCAGAGCCTTGACAGATACGGCTCAGTTGTTGTTGTAGATGAAAAACGACGACAGACTGAAGCCCGAAGACCGTCTAGACGCCGAGCACCGCCTGAAGGCAAAGCATCAAGCCGAAGCCCTTCTCCCACGCCCACTCGCTCGAGGAGGCAGCGAGCGCACCAGCTCAACGAACTTGTCGTGATACTCCTGAGTGGCTGCAGTCTGCGAAGCGACAGCAGCGGCACACCCCAGGCCCGCCTGTCGGAAGCATCCTTCTCGCACGCAGCCACAACTGCGCGGCACGGCGCCAGCTCACGAGAGACAGCCGCATCAGCCAAAGAGTTGAGCCGCCGGCATGCGGCTTCACCACACCATCCAGCAGGCGCCTTCCAGAGACGGTGCTTCTCATGCGAAGGAATCCAAGAGGTCTCCAAGCAAGGTGTGGCCTGAGCGACGGTACGCCAAAGCCGCCACGGATCACCATTCTCAAAAGCCAGCCGGCCACCACGAAGTCTGCCAGCCACAGCATTGTCGACCAGAAGACGAAGACGCCGCCTTGGAGGAGCAGAGCGGCAGCCAAGACGTAGACTGCCACTCTCTCGCCCTCAGCCGCGGTCCGCTCCGGACCCTGCACCAATCCACTGAAGGTAGCGCCGCCAAAAGAGACTGCCCAAGCAGCCCGCTGCTCGCGCCTCGTGCCAGCAGACAGCCCCCGTCAGTCGCGACGAAGTGCACCTCGTCCTCAGCCAGCAGCGCCAAGTGCCCCCGCCACCCTTCTGACCTCCCCGTCGTAGAAGGCCACAGGCCAGCGAGGAGGAGCAGGCCCCAAAGCAAGCAAAAGACGCTGTTCCAACATAGAGCACGCCGGCAAAGACCACTCACGCTGAGGGCATTCGTGTAGGACCAGAAAAACCACAGCTGCACTTCCACTGAGCCACGTCCTCGCCGTTCTTGGTCAAGTGTCGAGCGTGAGCAGCTGCACCAGCCATGACCCACGCCTTGTACCCTCAACCTGGGCTCCCACAGCGACGTGGTAAGCCGCATCAAAGTCTCCAGCGAAGCCACCCGCCTCTTTAGTCTTCGGGTCCGCCAGCAGCAACTTGCGGGCCCAAGCAAAACGGAGCTGACGGCGGAGGCCTGCAGCGCTCAGTGCCCGCCCGAAAACTGCCATGCCTCGTGGTCCAGATGTCACCAGCTCCGCGCTGCCAGCCCGCCGTCTTGAAAGCGGCAGCCGTGTAGGTGGCCTCCTCGCGATGTCGCTGCAAGTGAAGCCTGCGATGCTCACGCAATATGGCCGCCTCAGCGCACACGTACTCAGGAAGAAGGTCCAGTCCGACGACGCCCAACCACGCCAATGCAGCAGACCGCCCCCGAGGGATGCTGCCGCCCCACGCTGCGCGCTCAATGGCGCCCTTCCAAGTGGCCAGAAGCTTTTTGGAAAACCTGAGCCAAGGCGCAGCCCACCTAACAAGCGAAACAACCAGCTGCCGAACGGAGCCCACGACTGGTGCCACACAATTGGATCTGCTTGCACCTCGCCTGCAAGCTTGGCGCGATACCCTCAGTAGCAACGGGTGCTGCGCGCGCGAGGTGTTGTACGGGATTCCCAGCAGTTTCAAGGTAACTGAGGCACACCCACCGTGTCAGAAAACTCAAGGAGGTCGTCTCGCACTGTCTGAGTCGTGCCAAAACTCTCCAGATTTGCCGGGTGCAAAGTGAAGCCAAGAGCCTGGTCTGCTACATCGCCCGCAGCCATGGCCCTCTGGATGGCTCTGGTCGCCCCCTGTCGCTTGCGCAGCCACAGCGTCCTATCATCGATAAAAATGGCCAGCTTGACGCCCGTGTCCTCGCGCTGCACCGTCTTGAACCAGACGACCATCATGGCGTTGAGGCACAGCGGACTCAAGGGACACCCTTGGAGCAAAGCATGGCAGTCCAGCAGAGGCTGCCGCGTTGAAACGCCATCGACCATTAGCCAGCAATGGCCCCAAGCGCCCGCAGGCAGTCAACCGCCAGCAAAGGGGAAGCACTGTCAAAGCACTTCCTGACGTCCGCCTTGCAACCAGCCAAAGGCCCACCGACACGCTGCACGTAGAGGTCGTGGGTGAGGTTCGCGTGCACGTCGTCGACGCTTCTGCCAGGCATGCCACCGTAGAGCGCCGCAGGGAAAACACGGCGAATCCAGTCGCCAAGCAGCTGTACCAAGCAGGCAGCGCCGAGCACCCATGCCAGCGCCGCAATGGCAAGCGGACGAAGTCCGCCATCTTGTTTGGGGATCAAACAGATCCTGACCTGAGTCCAAGCAGCAGGGATTGCTGCTCCGTCCAAGATGCTGTTCCACAAATCAGCCAGCGAGTGAAAGAACTGCTCAGGAAGCAAACTCTAATGCTTGCCTGCCCACCCGTCGCAGCCAGGCGCCTTCTTTGCAGTAGCACGAGCCCGACGAAGCAAAGCGTGGCCCTCCAAGCGAAGGGGCGGAGCGGAGCCGGGTCTTGCCCAGCCTTGCCCAGCTGCAGCTCGGTCAAGAGTTGGCGAAGGGCCACGCCGTCTGGCCGCCTGTGACGGCTCCACAAGTGTCCATTCTGCAGCGGCGGCCTCCGCTTTGGCCTGCGGGTCCGGGTCCACAGCGAAGTTCTCGAAAGACGTGTTCTTCTCAGCGCAAGAAGTTTTGACCCAGCGCGCCAACCTTGGTAAGTCAGTCTGCACGTCCTGGGCCCACTTGTCCAGCCTTGCGCAGTTGGCACGCTTCTCCTCCTCAGCAGCTTTCTCCTGAAGAAAGGTCAGGAGCGCAGGGCCTTGTAGCCTCACCACTTCTGCGAGGTCCGGGTAGACGTCCGCCAGGTGCTGCAGGTAGCGGTTCAGCTTGGCCTCGCCTGCGTTCTCGTCACTCGTCGGGTTGCTGCTGCTTTCCCGAAGTGTCTGTACAGAGGCAGTCTTGCCGAAGTGAGCCTCTGCAAGGTAGGGCCCCGGTAGGGCCTGCCCGATGCTCCACGAGGCTTGGCGGAAGGAGCAGCCTCAACATCCAGAGAAGCCTCAGCAGCGTCTGAAAACAAGTGCCAGGCCGTTTCAGTGTCTGCCGCTCCCAAGGCCCGCATGAAAGGAGCCTCTCGCATGGACCAGTGTAGCTGCCAGTCCACGTTTCTTTGTCGAGCGCGAGCCTCTGCTGAGCCTGCCAACGCCAACCTCGTAGCCCACTGTGCCGGTGGACGTCGTAGGTCACGAGATCGTGGTCTGCAGGGCCGAGCTGTTGGGCGCGGCCTGAAACTGCCAAGCGCGCCGAAGAAAGCCCAAAATCCAAAAGCCTGCCCGTGTAAGTGCCGTCCTCAAGCCTGTGAGTGCCCTTGCCCTCTGTGAACGGGTCGGGGTCCATGGCGTAGACCACACCACTAGCCACGAGGTTGCAAAGCGGTTGCTGGTGAGGAGTCCTGTTCCAGTCGGCTAAAAACACAAAATCTTCGCCCGTCGTGACAGCCCAGCGAAGCACGGTGGAGGCGATGTGCTTGTTGAGCTCAGCATCGTTCGCCGGCAAATAGCCATTTTGATCAGAAGGGGCCTCTGGCTCGGTCGGTGCTTCACAGCCATGAAGCGGGTGTCAAAACTCCGCCACCGGGACCGCCACCAGCTCGACCGGCCAGTCAGACACGAAAGCAACCCCGCCACAGGCTTTACCTTCGCAGTCGAAGGCCAGAGGGCCTGGGTGAAGACACCAGCCCTTCGCATGAAAAGCCTGTCTCATCGAGTGGATGCCCTCCTCGGTAAGCTTGGTCTCCTGCAAACAGAGCACGTCGACGCCGGCATTCGCCGCCAAATCCATAACTGATCCCATCTTCCCTTCCCTGTGAGGGAGCGAACGTTGCAAGTGCCCACCCGAAGAAAAGAATGCGTCATTGCTCAGCATGATGCCCCAGCCCACGCGCGAGCTCCAGATCGATCTTGTCAGAGCTCGCCCCGCCCTTCTCGCCCATAATGCCCAAAATCAGCTTGGCCGCCTTCGCTGGAGTGCCCCCCTCGTCGATCACCGCGTTGAGCTCCTTGACCTTGCCGAGAATGGCCCGTCGTTTGGCAGGTTGGCACTGTTTGCCCTCCGCGTCGCGAAGCCTCTTCCAAACGCCACCACAGCCACTGCAAACGAAGCGCACCACGAAGTCGTGGCCTCCCAAGGACCACGCCGTCGCCGTGAGGTCGTGCTCGGTGTTCGTGTCCGTAGTGTCCTCCGCAAACAGCTCCAGCAGGTACTCAACGTCGCGCGTCACGAGGTCGTCCAAACCGCCAGCTTGCAAGGCCGCCGTGAGCCGGGCGATGAAAGCAGGCCGTTTTGCCCCCGCAGAGTGCGTCTTGCACGGCTTGCTGCCAAGCTCAGCAACGCTTTGCGCCAGCCGTTTGCAGCGCTTGCACAACGCCCGGGTGCAGAAGTTGCGCTGCTTGCGCTGCTTGCCCCGTGACGTTTCACCGCCGCTCAGAGTTGGAGGAAGCTTGACGAAGGTGACGTCGTGGTCCGCAGCCTTGCCTGCCTTGAGTTGGTGCAGTCGCTTCGCCACCCCAGCCGCCAGCTTCAGCCTTCTTCGTGCCCCACGGTGCCATGCTCCAGCAGAAACAGGTCCTTGGGCTCGTCCGGGTGGTAGGTGTCGCCATGGTGTTTGCGAGGCCGAAGACGCGCATCCGGATCAGTCTCTGTGGCAGAGATGCCCAGCCCGCAGCCTGCCACTGGACACTGCCAAAGACAAGTGTCATGGTTGTAAGGAACCAAAACAAGGGGCTTGGTCTTGAGGTTGAGCTCCGCCTTAAGTTCCGGGTGGAAGTTGTCGATGTGCCTCTGTTTCTTCTGCACCCAGTACTTGACTTGCCCTGTGCTCCATCCACACTCAGGGCACTTCCATCCAAGCTTGGCCTTGCGCTTCGGTCCTTCGAGGTGCCGCCCGAGACCTCCGCCGGAAGGTCGCAGTCGAAGTCCAAGTCGCCCTCCGTGTAGACAGAAACGGCACCGGAGCCCGCGCGCCTGCCCGCCTTGAACAATTCGCGAATGTCCTTCGGCGCAGCACGCACAGCCTCGCCACTGGCACTGTCCAGATGGCCCTTCTCGGCTCGAGAATGGGGGTCTGGGACGCCCGTCGTCGGTAAAGACTGTCGCCTCCTCGTCGCCGTTGTCGTCAAACTTGGACTGGTTCGCCTTGGAGTTCGCAGCCTCCGAAGCGGCTCTGCTTGCCGCGCAGCTGCCAGTAGCAGTAGCACCAGCCTCGCCTCCACTCTGCGTCATCCTCGACACGCGCGTAAACACAGTAGACGCCGCCTCCGCCTGCTCCACAACGGCCGCCACGGTGAAGACCGTCTTCACAAAGTCGTTGTCGCGGCTCGCAGCCTGGGGACCGCCACCACGAGGAAGGTCAGTGACATGGCCTTCAGCATGACCCGTACAAAGGTCCTCCGGAAAATCGTTGCCTTCAACAGGACACAACCAATCAAAATGGCCCGGCTTCTCGGTAAACCAAAGAGCGATGCGATCACTAGCAGAGGTGTTGTAAGCAGCCTTTGCCAATCGAAGAGGCGCAGGGATGATGTGCACAGCGACCTTGTAAGTCTTGGCAGCCCCATAGGCCTCTAGACTCCCTGCCCAACGTCCCGCATCAGCCATGTGGTCAATGTACTCAGCGAAGCTTTCGAGCTCATTCCCGGTCGAATCCTGCCCGCTCCAATACGTCTCATAAGAAGACTGGTGTTTGCGCATATGCGCGCAGATCTCAGCGCCGACTCGGTGGGGAGCAAGGGCAGGTTCGTTGCGAAGCCTGCCTACGGCCCGGCCGATGACAGTGTAGAAGCAATTTCCATCGCCATCAACCCGCTGAAGCGTGACCTTGGCTGGGAGACCGCGAAGCTTCTCAGCAACGGCCTGCTTCTTGGAAGGTGGCTCTGCAGAGCTCTCCGCTCCCGGCTTTTGCTCTGGCTTGTTGCAATGCTGCGAAGGCGGCGCCTTGGCTGAAGACAAAAGGTTGGCGATCAATGATGGGCTTGGCAGCCTTCGCGAGCCCCGGCCTGGCAGCGATCATCCAGTAGGACGCCTCAGTGTTTCCTTCCTTCACGAAAATCTGGAAGGCATCAGCATCCGCATGGCTCACCTTGGCCTTGATCATCCAGTGAGCCCTTCCTTTCCTCAATGTCTTCTTGACGACCGCCGCCTCCTCGATGCCGTTAAAGTTATCTGCTCCTTGACGAGCTCAGCGACCACGCCATCACTCCATTCAACAGGCGTGCCTTGCATCGTGAAGTAGCGAACAAAGCCCTGGACAGGACTCGTGCCGGCCTCGGTGCGCAAGCCGATTTGGCGCTCGCCAAGAAAGGCGCCAAAGCGACGCGCAGCTTCCAGCGCTCGCTTGAACGCTGCCGGCCAAGACTCCGTCTCCTGAGCCCCGACCCACTCGATCATGCAGTTGACGTTGTGCTCCTGCCCTGCAGGCTCCAGGAAGACGCCGCCATCACCCGACGAGCCAAGGAGCGTCTCCACGACTTTGACCGGCACACGGATCAAGCCCACCACGGCCGGGGTTCTCAAACGAGTCTCCTGGGCGAAGCCCCAAGCGTCCTTGACGGCACCGTGCAACTCGGCCTTGAGCGTGCCACGCACCCATCTCTGAACGGCAGCCTTGGGCGCCGAGGACGCCCTGGTCCAGTCTGACTCCTCCAAGAAGAGCTTGCCAAAGACAGTGCGCAAGGTGGTGGTAGCTTCACCAGCGGGAACCGCTTTGGCCGCCGCGGGCGCATTCTTCAAGGTGGGCAACGGCGTGCCTGGCGTGAGAAAATCTACGCATGCGAAATGCAGAATGCGGACATCCTTGCCGTCCTTGCTCTCGACGGGCAGCTTCAACTTGCCATCCGGATCAGCCAAACCAATCTTGCTGAGCACTTGGCGCCGGCACCAGTGAGCATCATCATCAATGCATCGGTCTGTTCCGCGTCGCGGACAAGTACCAACACTGAGCCACTCAAGCTGTTGAGCTGGGACGCCGCCTTATCGTAAGAGAGGATGGCACCATTCCCATCCCGGTCACGAAGCTGGGGCCGAGCAGGTGCACCCGAGGGGGCCTTGGCAGCCTTTCCCTGTCCTTTGGGCGGTTGAGGGGTTCCTTTCCCCTTGCCCTTTCCAGAAGACAAACCCGTTCCGACAACAGCAGCGAAGCTTTTGGTCTTTCCGCCTCCCTTTGTGGCCTCCGGCTCTGGAGGGCTCTGGTTCTTGCGCGCACGGCGCCTTGACACCGTCTGAAACCCATCATTGTCTGACTGACCAGCAGTATCATCAAAGGACACCCGTCTGGCAGGGGGCCCAACTTCATCAGCAAACCCGCCCGACATATTCGTCATCAAGTTCCGAATGCCCGCCAGCTGTGACTTGATCGCCGGGTTATCCCCCGCGAGAACTGCTACCATTGCCACAAGAAGCTGAATGATTGTCTGCAGTGCCTCCTGTGTCATGTGTTCCCGCCTCCGGTTCGCCGTCGCCGAAGCAGCACCCGGTCCTGGGTTGGCGGCCTCGCCAATGCGTATGCCCAGCAGGCCTGAATGCGGCCTGCGCCGCCACCAGCAAAACACATTGACAGCTGGAAAGAGAAAAGCCCTCGCACTCACGCACCGCATATTTTCAAGGCTGGCAGTGGCTTCGAAAAGATTCTGGTTGCTCCCAGCGGCGACCCGATGCATGACATGCAACTCCATGCAACGATCACTCTTGCCAACCTGCAATGGAGTCGAATGCTCCGGACCAGCAGTAGCGAGCTGATCACCATCTTGCTTCATGGAAAAGAAAAAACTGGCCACTCACAATGCCAATCACGAAAAAACCCACGACTCCAAAGCCCACCTCTGCATAATTTCACTGCACTTGCAGCGCCAAGCCCAGCGGACACTTCGCGGGCCCGTAGAGCGGACGGGCCTCCGCGGCAGCCAAGGAGATCTCCAGGGGGCGGTCCGCGCAGCCGCACAGATACGGCTCACTCCCAAAGATTAAGAGCTCATCTGTGGCTGCTAAGAAACCACTGATTCCGTAGATGCCCCACTCCATCATCTCCTCATTTATCTGGTTGATGCACTCGACGAGGGTTACCTCGAACCCCCCGAGAGGTGGCAAGAAGCCCACCACCGGAAACTGCAAGTACAGCAGGGGATCCGAGCAAACTCACGAGAAACTGCAAGTACAGCAGGGAATCCGAGCAAACCCATGAGAAACTGCATGGACAGCAGGGAATCCGAGCAAACCCTTCCGGAATCTGCAAGGACAACCGGGAATGGGAATCCGAGCAAACACCGAAACTGCAAGTACAGCAGGGAACCCGAGCAAACCCACGAGAAACTGCAAGGACAGCAGAGAATCCGAGCAAACCCTTCCAGAATCTGCAAGGACAGCAGGGAATCCGAGCAAACTCTTTCAGAATGTGTAAGGATAGAAAGGAAACCGAGCAACCCCACCGGAAACTGCAAGTACAGCAGGGAATCCGAGCAAACTCACGAGAAACTGCAAGTACAGCAGGGAATCCGAGCAAACCCATGAGAAACTGCATGGACAGCAGGGAATCCGAGCAAACCCTTCCGGAATTTGCAAGGACAACCGGGAATGGGAATCCGAGCAAACCCCGAAACTGCAAGTACAGCAGGGAACACGAGCAAACCCACGAGAAACTGCAAGGACAGCAGAGAATCCGAGCAAACCCTTCCAAAATCTGCAAGGACAGCAAGGAATCCGAGCAAACTCTTTCAGAATGTGTAAGGATAGAAAGGAAACCGAGCAACCCCACCGGAAACTGCAAGTACAGCAGGGAATCCGAGCAAACTCACGAGAAACTGCAAGGACAGCAGGGAATCCTAGCAAACCCATGAGAAACTGCATGGACAGCAGGGAATCCGAGCAAACCCTTCCAGAATCTGCAAGGACAACCGGGAATGGGAATCCGAGCAAACCCCGAAACTGCAAGTACAGCAGGGAACCCGAGCAAACCCACGAGAAACTGCAAGGACAGCAGAGAATCCGAGCAAACCCTTCCAGAATCTGCAAGGACAGCAAGGAATCCGAGCAAACTCTTTCAGAATGTGTAAGGATAGAAAGGAAACCGGGCAACCCCACCGGAAACTGCAAGTACAGCAGGGAATCCGAGCAAACTCACGAGAAACTGCAAGTACAGCAGGGAACCCGAGCAAACCCATGAAAAACTGCATGGACAGCAGGGAATCCGAGCAAACCCTTCCAGAATCTGCAAGGACAGCAAGGAATCCGAGCAAACTCTTTCAGAATGTGTAAGGATAGAAAGGAAACCGAGCAACCCCACCGAAACTGCGAGTACAGCAAGGGAATCCGAGCAAACCCACGAGAAACTGCAAGTACAGCAGGGAATCCGAGCAAACCCATGAGAAACTGCATGGACAGCAGGGAATCCGAGCAAACCCTTCCGGAATCTGCAAGGACAACCGGGAATGGGAATCCGAGCAAACCCCGAAACTGCAAGTACAGCAGGGAACCCGAGCAAACCCACGAGAAACTGCAAGGACAGCAGAGAATCCGAGCAAACCCTTCCAGAATCTGCAAGGGCAGCAAGGAATCCGAGCAAACTCTTTCAGAATGTGTAAGGATAGAAAGGAAACCGAGCAACCCCACCGAAACTGCGAGTACAGCAAGGGAATCCGAGCAAACCCACGAGAAACTGCAAGTACAGCAGGGAATCCGAGCAAACCCATGAGAAACTGCATGGACAGCAGGGAATCCGAGCAAACCCTTCCGGAATCTGCAAGGACAACCGGGAATGGGAATCCGAGCAAACCCCGAAACTGCAAGTACAGCAGGGAACCCGAGCAAACCACGAGAAACTGCAAGGACAGCAGAGAATCCTAGCAAACCCTTCCAGAATCTGCAAGGACAGCAAGGAATCCGAGCAAACTGATGTGATGACCAGCCAGCTGACAACGAAGAAAGGCCAGCCAAAGCGCAACTGCAGGGTCAGCGCTTTCCATTCACCCCTGGTTCGCCACGCATGGGAGAGGAAGACGTCGAAGGACATGACTGGGGCAGAAAGATCAACCAAACATGCACGTTCCACTGGCGGAAGATCTACTGGACTCACACGCCACACGCGAGCAAACTGGCGCAGGCTCAGCTTCAGCGGGATACCGCGCATGATCTCCCTGTCAGCATGTAGGGCACTCCTCAAGAGCTGGCTGCGTCGGATCGCGTCCTCCGTGCGCGCTGGAGGAACGACATCCTCTTCGTCAGGGCCATCGTCCTCCTGCTCCTCCTGCTCCTGGCTTGGGGGCATCGTCAGGTGTCAATGCCCTCACTCTCCATGACACAACTCCACCCATCGGCCGAGTTTTGGATGTGAGGATCTAAGGATTCGCCTAGCCCTTGCTTGAGCCCTCAGCAAGCATCGACTTGAGAATAGTTCGAAAGTAGGCTTCGCTTCACACTCTGTATTTGAATCGCTGTCTCGTCATTGCCGCTTCGGGAATGCCGCCCTGGGCCCTCGCACCAGAGCCCTCTCCCGGGGAAGTAGTAGGACTGCGCCACGTCGAGGTCGCCTAAAAGGGGGTGAGGGGATTCCTGGTTCAGGTCGTTCGCTTCATGGGCTCCATGGGGGGATTCGATTTCAACTCCAAGCTCCAGCGCCACTAAGAATCCCAAGCAAAAGACTCAAACTCTGAGACGCTTCTGACACCCGAAACCTTGAAGCTCGAGCTGGCTTCAGTTTGGGAGTTTTGGGCTGAGGGAGCTTTTGACCTGGGTATACAGAGGTTTGAGTTTGGGGTCTGGGGCTTGAAAGCCTCAGGCATTCGAGGCGCTGAGGGTACCGACCTCATGGCGAATGCAGAGCCCCTGCACAAAAACCAAAAAACTTCATGAATAGGCCGTAAAGTTTAGGGTGTTGTCAACAATCCGGGGGGTCTGCGGTCGTCGTCTACTGCCACCACCGCCGCCAGCACCACCACCACTAATTACTTTCGCTACTATCCATACCCTAAACCCTAAACCCTACCACCACCTCAAGGGATCACTCTCTTGTCAAAGCTTCACTAAAACCCGCCCGGAGCTAACGTGCCGAGTGGCAGTTGCCGGGGTCCACGTAGCACCAGGACCTCGGCCAGGCTGTGAAGAGGAAACTGTAAGGATAATTTGATAACCGTAAATATAACGGTGTAGTCGGATGTACTATAACATACTGCTAGGTACTATAATATACTATAATACTATAATATATCATGGTACACTTCAATAAACTATAATACACTATAGCATAGCACAACCTAACCCCTAAACCCGAAAGCCACAGACCGAAACCCCGAAACGAGCACAGGCTGTCTGTACCATAATATGCGATTAGCTACTAAGATAGACAATAATATACTACAATGCACTCGTTACTATCTTACTATGTAATACTACGATATACTACTGCTGATGGACAAAATCCTGCATTACCCTAAGGACCCTAAACTATGGGAATTATGGTATATTCCTCACTATGGGTCATGCAGGATTTATTGTCTGCAGTATGCTACAATATGCGATAACAGCTGCTCACAAGGCGCAGCAACAGCCGGGAACACCAGACTCACCCGACTTCAGGGCTTCAAGGTTTAGGGGCCTTTAGGGTTCGAATATACCTTAAAGGGGTTTAGGGTTTACAGTAGGGGTTTCGGGTTTAGGATTTAGGGTTTAGGGTTTTCCCACAGAGACTCCATTACCCCTTAATTGAGGAATAGACCTTAAATCTTAACAGGGATCCTACGAAAATTTTATGGCATATTCCTGAATGAAGGGGTATCGGAGTAATCCAGAAGGTTTTACAGGTTTGGGCCTTTAGTCATAGGACCTGTAGGGCGGGTGGGGGGGAGGGGGGGTAGGGGGCTATTCTTCCTTGAAATCAGCCTGATAAAAGGTCCTTATCATGGGCATGAGGGCCCCCTACCCCCCCTCCCCCTACCCCCCTAAGGGCTCCTATGATTTAAGGGTGAAGAAGGTTGGGAGGTTTGGGCCTTTTAAGGGGAAGTCCAGGCCCTGAACGAAGCTCCGCCACAACTATGGCCAAACACACGCACCCCAGCGCAAAAAAGGACCGGAATGAACTCCGCACTCCAGCACAATCAAGCCTAAAGGAGCCAAACAAAAACATCAGCCACCAGAACAAAGAAATAAAGGGTATCGTAGAAGAGACAAAGGCAGAAACGCATTCGATCTCTTTCCCTGTAAACCTCAATACCCGAGCCCCGGCACTTCGTTCGACTATCCGACGGGCTAAGGGCCTTGCTGTCCGCACCACGGGAGCGAGATGGTCTGCACGTGACGAGCAGCTCACGGATGCACGGCATGGCTTTCGGGCTCAACCTTTAGGTAGTTGGACATCCTCCAACCACAAAACAAAATGACAAAAACCTGCGCCTCTTCATACCCTTCAGGCAAAAAAGGACAAGACTTTCACTTCCAGTAGCCTGACGACAGCATTGAACAAACCCTGAACCAAAACGCCAAAAACGACTCAGCCCTAAACCCTAAACCCAAAATCCATAAACCCTAAACCCTAAAAACCCTGAACCCTAAACCCCTAAACCCCGAAAACCCTAAAACCCTAAACCCTCAAACCCCTTAACCCCTAAACCCTAAACCCCCTAAACCCCCTAAACCTCTAAAACCCTAAACCCCCAAACCCTAAACCCCCTAAACCTCTAAAACCCCTAAACCCTGCAAAAAAAAAACGACTCCAAAATCGACTCAACCACCCGCCGGCCTTGGGCTCAAAGAACTCCTTGCAGTCCGT